GTGGGTGTAGACACTTGAAATTTATACTTCTACAACTTCTGTTTTTGAAGTTTCAGAAATCTTCTTAAAGTGAACCTGCAGTCTGTTATCTTGTCACAGGTAGCTGGAAACCTTTTTTTGAAAAAATGTCAGAAGAGGAACATCGAAGGGAAACAGCATTGGTTAGTGAATAAGCTGCTGGATACCAAGAGCCCAAGGTGGTGGTTACTTTAGCAGGAGTAATTGGGCATGTCTATATGAAATGCTTAATGCGCAGAAGACATTCTACTGTGTTTTAGCGTGGCTAGCAAAAAACGTGCTAATGTTCAGTAGATTTAGTCTAATGCACAAAACCGTTCATCTGCACTAATGCACAGTAGCACCAATTATGATGCATTAAGTTTAGTACCTGTCACGACAGGTACTAAACTTAATACACCTTAAGTATGGCACATTAATGAACATGTAGACTTTCCCACTGAGTCTAGACCACAGGAATTTAGGCTAAAGGGAATATACTTTTTCCTGTATTGAAGTTTATTCATCTAACTAATCTGTAATTTGCAGTTGAATCTTTTAGATATTTTGATTTTCTAATATATATAGTAATGTGTCTTTCATCTCATGGAGTGATTTAAATACAGTAAAATCTTTGCTATCTGGCATTTAACTAACTGGAATTTCCAGCCAGCCGGCCAGACGTGGAGGAGTGAGGAGAAGCTTGCATGTGGCAGCTGCCACCCACCGCCCTGTGCTGCTGCTGCTCTGCATGCGGCCGCCGCCATCCCCCATTCTGTTCCGCGGGCCGCCGCCACCGTGTCCCTCGTCCCCCACTCTGTATGTGGCTGCTCTCCCTGCCCCCCACTCCGCATTATCTGAAAACCCCTGGCAGGGGTTTTCAGATAACTAGAATTTTTACATAACTGGCAATCCTCATACCCTGGGGATGCTGGATAACAGAGATTTTTACGGTATATTATTAAACTAATAAATACTAAAGTGTAGTCTTTATGGCTTAAGTATGGAACTGCTTGGGTTATTTTCCCCCTGCAGTGTCTTCAGCTATAAAACAGAACTATTGGGGAATCTTTAGTTATTGTCATGACAGCGTTAAACTTTAAACTTTAGTCTCACAGGCCCTTTTCCTTTAACAAATGTGCAGGAATGGGAATGTTTTAGCAAACTGTTTGGAAGTTACAGAGTCATCCTTTCCATTTCCTCTTCATATTTGTTTTCATTGAAGATTACATTTGCATTTTTTATTCTTAGTAGACCTTAGGTCTGACTGGAAGACTAAACATTGCGCCTCATCTTGCCAAAGAAGTTCTGTTGACACCTGGTTGGCATTTTGCACACGTGAACAATATTTTGAACTTTGTTTGAACTCTGCAACCTTAACATAAGGTTTATTGCATTTTTTGTCTGTTTTTATTACATTACCTTGAAGGAGCAATCTGAACACTTCCTGATGCAATTGTAAAAGAGCCAAATTCCTGTATGAAGAACTATTACCTTTTGTTTAGAAAACAGATGTGAGTTCAAATTCTGTAAGGTCATTGATTTCTTATTAAATTCTGTTTGTTTGGAGGCCTTGATAGCTAAATGGATCTGTAAAAGATAATAGGTTGAGCAAATATTTACTTGCCAGCTGGCCTACTCTTGTCAGGATTGTCCCTGTTCTTGGTGGTGGTGTTACTAAATAATAATAAATAATCTGCTATTGGCAGCCCTGGCCAAACTCTTAAAATATAATAAATTATGGTAAAAGCAGCACCTATATGTAAAGTTGCCTGATGCATTATAAGTAGGCATCTACCAACATCGTGATTTTGCAGAAATTGGGAAAACTGGCATTGCTTGTGACAGCGGGCAATGTCCATGAAACCTGTGGGGGGGGGGGGAAGAAGAAAATTTATTGAAAATAAAATGCCGGCTCCCTAGAGAGAGCCAACAGTCCTCACCGTGCTGCACCCTGGCTGCACAGCCTACTGGGGCAAACGGGGCAAGGAGAACCCTGTCCCTTGCCACCAATCAGCAGTGAGTGGCGGGGGGGCCCGGATATGGTGGCTGGCCCCGCCATCTCCCTGTGAAAATCGACTGGTTATTTCCTTGAGTTAGGTAGACCCCTAATTATAAGGCCCTTATTTCAGTTGCTTTTAATTTTGCCAAACTGTAATAGTTTAGACCAAGGCTATCCAACTTTCAGGCAGCTGGGGGCAGCATGCTGTGCAGGCTGCAGTTCTGGGGTTCCCCTCTACCCTCCCACCAGTAAGTCTGGCTCTCCTCACTCCCAGGTGTATATGCCATGTAGGCAACCCTCCCCACCCCACAGAGCAGGCATTCCAGCTTCCTGCTACTGCATATGCAGCACCCTCCTTCCCCTCCCCTCCCTGCCATGTGCACCACCCACTTGCAGTGTGGGCAGCCTGGCTCCTTCCTTGGTCATGTGCAGTGCTAGCATCCTGGCCCCCTGTCATACCATGTGCACAGTTCAAGCACAGCAACCCCCTCCTGCTACCCTGTCCTGCCTCCAGAAATGGGGGCAGGAAGTAGAAGCAAGAGAAGAAAGGGAAGCCTGGAAAATCTGGCAGCCACTGCAGGAGCCATGTCAGAGAAGAGTGGCATGGGCTTCATGCCAACCCTTTGGGGGGTTGCTAGTTAGACAGCTTTGGTTTAGAGTGAAATTTCATGTAGATTGCCTCAGTCTGTCTCTCTTGGGGATAATGGAACATTCAGCTGCCATTGACTCCTCAGTCTCTATCAACCAAGTAACTTCAGCTAAGTCAGCTAAGGGCTGCCTTCAGCATCAGTCCTGAACAGGGCTTGAACTATTTCTGGAGCCATAGCAAGACACATTAGCTGCTTTGCCATTGCATGCGACTTTATAGGAAGATACATATTTTGCTTATGTTAAACTCTGATCTCATCTTTGAACAACTCTGGTGCCCTTGTACTTTAGAGCAGATACTTGAAGCTTAGATAGATTACCCCTGACACAAAGACCAAGTGCCTTTTTGCTGTCCCCCCTCAAAAAACTACTCAGTTTGACCAACTTACTTAATTTTCTCAAAGGTTTATATGTGCATATTTAGTAGGGGTTGCAAACATTTTAGCGCCTAAAAATTCCCCAAAGATTCCATCATATTGGTCATGTTCAGGGCTGACATCATACTGTTCAGGGCTGACTGTACAAACCTGGATTTATCCTGAAGGTGTCACTGCATGGAAATTCTGGACTGTGCTGGGGCTGGCCCAGTTATTTGAAGTGAGACCAGGGAGAATAGTCTGACCCACCTCTCTGTTCTATATTCTGACTGTACTTCACACGTTTACTGTGAAGGTTAATGCTTGTACAGACTTTTGAAGGTATAATGCTAAATATTAAAGGGATTGTATGCTTATACCTTGGCAAGAAGGTCAGTGTCTAACAAATGCTTTGTCTTTAGAATGTTTTTCTTTTGAACCCATCTGAAAGGTTGAGGGAGTTCTGTATACTGTTTATTTTCACTTTGGGGAGGAGAAGATTTGGCTAAATATCCTGTGAGTCTCTCTGTCTGTCTTTCTGTCTCTCTGTCTTCTTCTTTCTTTCTTTGTTGGTATCCTCTTGCCTGACGGCAAGGAGTTCAATCAGGAGTCTGTAAGCAGGAAACCAGCAGAAAATGAAACAGTAGCAAAGAAACGATAGAGTCCAGAGGTCCTCAGGGAAACAGTGGCGCAGCTATTAATTGTGCAGTATCCCCAGCCCATCTCCAGCTAAGTTAGCAAATTTTATTTTTTCCAGCCGTCAGATGAAGAACAAAGGATGGTGAGACCTTAAAAATGCTGGCCTAAGGAAGATGGGTTATCAGATGCAGAAAATCTTCAAAACATGCTTTTTTTATGGAGTTGGGGGCTGATGTACCAAAGCTCAAGGACAGTGTCATATGTACCACCTATCTTTTACCCTGTTACATGCCAACTATTGCCAGTTTTGTGATCCAGTACCTGGTTCTTTGCTGCAAAATGTGTTTCTCTGAAGATTCTCATGTGCATCAACATGCATTTAGACCACATGCTATGGCAAGACAAGTCCCAAAGGGTTGAGACAGACAGCTTGGTTCTATAGCATAAGATCCCATGCAGTCTGCTCACTTGAGCTACCAGAAGCTCAACAGCTACCTTGTTTGTGAGGTTAGTAGAGATGATGTGCTTTGGGACCATTGCTAGGGAAAACACATGTAGACTGGTAGAGAAGACTATGTGGCTAATACGGGATGACCAGCAGCAGAGGGAGTCCTTCAGGATGAACAAGGCCAATTTCTTGGAAATCTTCACAGAGCTGGCCCAAGAGCTGCAAAAACAGATGACCAATATGAGAGTTCCTTTGACTGTGGAGAAATGAGTGGCAGTAGTCATCTAGCAACCTCTAACTACTATCCTTTTGTTGTGAAACAGTTTGTCCTAGGCAAATAAACTGTTGGTGCTACCATATACATGTTGATGTTGCCATGTACATTGCTCTGTGTTGCCATAAAAAAAAGAGATAATGGTCCTGCATTGCCTAAGACTTGGCAACCTTCCCAGGAAGTTGTTAGCTTAGTCATGAATGTGACATTCCCTAACTGCATTAGAGTGATGGAACATGCATTCCTGTTCTTGCCCCCTGCCAGGGCCTTGAGGGTCAGAAGCAGGAAGGTTTCCCCACATTGTACTGGACGATGTGGGAGAGTCCTGCACACTGCTGCAGGGTGGTCTGGAAAAATGCAGGATGTGAGAATTTTCAGCAACTCTGTCTTGCTGATGTGAGTGGCAGGGGTCTGTCAGAACTGCTTGGAGCCTGAACAGTGTAGGCATCCCTCTGCTATTACGCTGACCCTGCTTTTCTATTGCTGCTGCAGCTCATCTGAAGCCTTTTGCTGGGTATCTTGATAACAGAAAGGAACTGTGTAACTGTTACCTGAACAGCCGCTCTTGAATGTGCCTTTGGGCAGATGAATTCATGTGGCATACACTTGGTATTGGAGGCACTTGGAGGCAGCTGAGCAGCACCTGCCCAGGACTTCGCTTGCTTGCTGCATTCTGCACAACATCTTTGAGAACAAAAGCAAAAGTTTGGGTGAGTTCAGTCAGTGACCCAGTAGTTCAGGTAGCCAGAACTCTAGTTGATTGGCATTTGCAGCTGGCTTGGATGTCTTGATTGGGCTTTCACCACTTGCTTTGAAGAAAGTCCATGAGAATGCCAGCCTATTGCTATGAGGAACCCTCAATGCTGTTTTGTATTTTCTTGCAAGATAGCTCAGGTATTTCTGATTTTGTAGGCTCTTTCATGTCCCTTCCTCCTCTTGTTTTGTATACTGAAGCCTACTGGTCTGTTTGGACAGGGAGGCCCCGTGGGCTTTCTACTCGTGTCTTTGCCATTTCAGCCCCTCTTTATACATGTCCTTTATTCATTACTTTTTTCCCTAGTCACGAAACATGTCTGCTGTATGGACTAATGATAGCATGTGTATTTGGCTGGTAGACCTTGTAGACAGTGGGTATGTACATGGGGAAGAAACCCCATCAAATGATTCTGATATGTGTAGATAATATGAACAATAAACCTTTTTTAGTATTTTGTCTTTTGAATAGGTGCAAAATCAAACAACGTACACTTGGTTAGGGCTTCAAAACCTGGATGTAGAAAAAGTACAGAACAGGAGGGAGCAGTTTCTTGGACATGGGTAGAAGAAATAAGTAGCATAGACAAGGTGAGGAAGCCTTTAAGTGACTGATTCTCAACCAGGGTGCTGCAGCACCCGGGAGTGCCTTCAGATCCTTTCAGGGGTGTTGCTGGGTGTCACATTGTTAGTGCTGTTAAGTGAGCAAACATGATTCACAAGAGAAACTCCAGGTTTCAAATAGGAATCCATAGTGTTAAAACTGTTCTGACATGTTGTGGTCTTTCTGAGTTCTTTGCAACTAAAGAATTGGTCTATTAGTGTGTTTATTCACATCTAAGATGACCCTTAATTTAAGATGAACCCCCAATAATTTGATTTTATACATGGAAAATTTATAAATGTGTTATAATTTTCCATGCTTGGAATCTAATTATTGGAGGGTTGTCTTTAATTCATCCTCCCTTGCTGCTGCAGGGGGCAGGCAGTGGGGAGGTAAGTGGTATAGTGAAGTCAAGCAGCTTGTCCCTGCCCCCCCTCCCTTCCCATTCCTGGGAGCCCCATCAACTGATCCAGACTTCCAGCCACAGGGGCATGCCTGAGAGCCCAGATCAGCTGGTGGGGTTCCTGGCAATGGAGTCATACCCTGCGACTGGGAGTCCCAGCCTGGCCACATGATCAGTTAATGGTGTAATAAGAATCGGCCACAAAATTATTATACATTTTGTTTAACAACTTTGTGGTTTATTCCTTGTTTTGTCATGCCATTGCATTGCATTAACATGTGGGCAGGTAACAGCTTAAGACATGATTAACTGGTTAAATGCATCTCAAGTTTAACGCATGCCAGAGGCCTAAATGAAGCAGAGTTAAAGCTGGAGCAGTTTTGCTCTATTGCTATAGAGTCATGTAGCTGTAACAGTTGCATAGTAACAGTTTATACTGGTATCCTTTGATAGTAATATAATTGTTGAACCTTTCTGTACCCTCCCCCAGTTCCATTTTGTCTTTTTGGGAATTTGTATCTATAGCTTGTCCTGCAGTATATGGCATTAATTGATGTATTCTGTATTCAGGCATGATTCTTTTTTTCTCTAAACTGATCATTAATTCCAGCGATTAGTAATAAAAAATAAAGACATTGTGGTATTCAAGACCATCATAGGAATTCTATATGCAGTGGCATATGTAGACTTTAGTATAGATTCCAAAAATAGCCAAAGCTATACATGTACAATATCCATAATTGTAGCATGCAAGTGTGGCATTTTTAAATGTGCAACGACCACATTACATGTTACTTTTGATATATTTAACTGCACTACTTGGTACTGGAACTAGGGATTAAAATAACAGGCAGGAGAATTAATAATTCACTTTCTGCTAGTAGCTGTGATAAATGTGGGACAGCGTGTTCTCTTAGAAAGTACACTCTCCTTAAAATCTGATAAAGCTTGTAGTGGAGTTTGAACATATTTCTGTGGTGAAGTTTAAAAATAAAAGACAAAAGGAAAAATGGAACATTTTTAAAGAACCTGCAGGAAACAAACTGAAATGATGGGGTAGTGGTTTAGCCTGCCTTTGAAGGAATGTTAAGAGTTTTAGTTTTTGTGACATTGTGATGTGTATTTATCTTGGCTTAGTACAGAGGTTTATCTTTTTCTCTTATGTTTCCAAACAAAATGATTTAAAAACTCTGATAAAGATGCAAATCAGACTAATCTGCACATTAAAAAAAATCTGATTCTTCCTAATATACTATGGTTTGTGCTTTGCCAGAAACGTGGCAGAATTAGCTCTACAAACCCCTCAGGAAATATTAAGATTTAATAGCAAGACTGAAATCTGACATACCGTTCTCAGCCCTTTGCAGTATAGCATTTTGATCCCAATGTAAATGTGGTGAAGATGAGTCTGTACTTGGCTATGCAAATTATCATTTTATTACAGAGCTACTTTGTACTACAAAATTAAGACTGGGAGAAAACACAGACACTGTGGAATAACGTGCAGTAAATCAAATGCAGCTGTTGGTTTTTGTAAGGCACCATCTCATCACGTAAAGATAGAATATTTCTCTGTCGTATCGTTATTGTTCCTCTGAGAAATACCCAACTGATTGAGCCACAATGGAAAGAACAGTAATGTCAAGGAGGTATCAGGTTTTCCCTATAGGGATATTCTGCTGGGAAGGAGATGCACAAGAGTGGTGTTCTGAAAAGCTCAGCTGCTGCAGTTTTTTCGTAATTGCTGCTCTCTTGTGATTTCTTCACTGAGTGAAGTAAAATGCTTCTTACAAACAGATTTGAGAAGAAAATGTTTTACTCGACACCGTAATGGAACTCTTAGCAAACTGTGGTTTATGCAGCTTTCATTGTTTCATGGATTTCCTGTTCCATATCAGTTCTCTTATCTAATTTTATGGTGCCAAGCTTGACACTGAGAATGATCATTTCTATTTCAATTAGTGTTGTTTCATTTTTTACAATCAGTTCAGCTTAGCGCCTCCCCAGGTATGTGGCTCTGATGCTAATTAGTGAGGAGCTGCTTTCTGGCTTCATGGGACACATGGGCTCTCAGTGTTTTAGTTCCATTAAACAAATGAGGTCGGTGAAATTGGTGTTCACTGTTAGCTGCACTGCCTTCTTTTTTTACTACTATTACTACTTGATGAAAACACTATTATATTTAACCAGCGCTGGCCCATACTGCTGCAAAATAAGATTATTTTCTGTGTGCGGATTTGGCAAACAGTACTCTGGATAGAAGCTGAGAAGCATCAAACCCAGAGAGAAGTATTGTATGTCTACACTGTGAACAAAGAGCAGATTACATTTTGTTATTGTATTTATTCTCATATGATTAGGATGTTAGTCCTTATGGCATTAATAACATTTGGCTTGATAGAACTATAATTGGTACAAGGCAAAAAATTCACCTTGAGTCTCCTGTGTTGTACTAAAAATACTTGCTTTGCTTTGGAATACCATCCAGTCCATTATTTTATTTTTTTTGGATTTGAATGAAATAAATGTAAAGGTTTAGGTTATTGACTTTTTTTTTCTTCTTGTGAGCTTGTACCAAGGTAATAGGTCGGCACAGTAGCTACTGTAGATCATTTAAAAGGAGGCATTGTGATACATTTTAGGAACTGCTTATGGGGAATTTTTCAAATGGATACATTTATTCTTTGCATAATTTCTTCAGATTTTTGTTTCTTTCTTGACATTCTGTATTGTTTCATAAAATGGATTTCAACAGTATCATGTTTTGATGACAAATTTTTACACTTGTTCATTGGTCTCTTGCACATAAAGGATATAGCAATAAAAAGGAATGCAAATTGTGGAATTAGGAAAGGGATGTAGCAGATCATATTGTGTTTTGTTTTTGTAGCTAAGACTGGTCCAAAATACATTATATAACATACCTCCAAAAAACCAACCCTCCTCCCCCAACAAAAACCCTGTCCATGTACTCGCACTCAAACAGAGTGTTTTTTCAGAAACCCACAAGGCAAAGTTAAGCTTGGCTTAAACCTCACTAACATGCATTCCCTTAACTCTTTCTGAGTGGCTGAAGCACATTAGCAGGACAGGTGTTTGAAGCTTGTAGTCTAGGTCACTGAGGTCAGTAGACTGCTGCCTGGACTGCACTAGTTTTCTGGGGCACCATTAACCTTCACCCTCATTTTCCCCAGCCCCTCCTCCCCCTTACTCAAAAACACTGGAAGGGCCCTCAGGTTAGAAATAGACTTCACCAAATGAAGTGGATCAGTTGTGTTGCTATGTGTTATAGCATAGCTGATCTGCTTCATTAGACAAAACACAGGTAGTCTTTTGTTCTGCCCTTGATCGCAGAGGACAGGTGGCAGTATGATCTCCCCACTCAGCCAGACTCGTCCCCATGATTGCTGGAGAGTGGAACTAGGTGAGAGAGGAAGGGCTTTTCCTTGCTCAGCCAGACTCATCCCCCAAAATCACTGTGGAGCAGGTCTGGCTGCATGAAGAAAGTGGAGCTTTCCCACTTAACCAGACTTATTCCTGTAACTGTAGGGGATGGGTCTGGCTGAGCAGGGAGCTCTGACTTCCTGCTTATGGAGAAGCACTGCAGATTCCTGGGGTGCCTCTGTAAGCAGGGAAGGTAGGCTGCTGCTTTGGGGGCTTGAAGAGCCCCTAGAGCACCTGCCTCTAGGGGCCCTAGAGCACCTGCCTGGGCTGGCTGGAGAGGAGCAGCAGCTCAGGCTGCTCTACTGTCCTGCCACAGAGCTAATAGACATCTAGTGTAATAAAGCAGCAGAGTCTATTACTGCTTTTTGTCGCACCACTGATTTTCCTTTAATGTGGTGTGACAGAGGGTAGTGATGTTTATTAACTTGCCATTTGTGCCACCACAAACATTTTTTATGGTGACACAAGCGAGACATCAGGCACCATTTCCCCCCACCCCCACGCTT